ATTCATTTTTATTGATTATTTCTCAATCAGACAATCTGTTTTCATAAAACTCATGCATATATAAAATAAACTAGCTGTTTGACAATATTATTATTTCTCATCCCCGTTGTCGTTCATCTTCTAAAAATAAGTCGTCTATCCAGCCGTTAATTTCAAAGTATCATGGTACAGATTTTTAGAGATGTAGAAACACTGGAAAACCTGGGAGTACTGGACAGCTGTTTCTCGTCCTGGTTTGGGACTCTTCATCAGTACGCACCCACCGGGATTCGAACCCAGGACCTTCTAGTTACAAGGCTAGCGAGCTCGTAGACCATTGAGCCACTGGGACCCGTCCCAGTGGTTCTCTAACTGATGTCAGCTCATGATGAAATCCTCCACGCAATCAAACAAAATCCCTACAAAACCAATACTTGAAGATGTAGAAACGCACTGAATTCAACACCAAATCTGTACATAATCAGTTGTCAACATGTGGTTTTCTAAAGCCCCTAAAGCCTTTCCCATTTTTTTAATGTTTCAATGGTATTTGTAAATTCAGGTTCAGTTAAATGTCTAACAAATCGATCGATAACTCTAAATGAGTAGTACATCAGAAAATTTAGATAATGCAGTGAAAAAAGATAAAAAAGAAGCGTTAGTGCTCATCAACTATTCCATAAAATTCATTAGGAAATGCTCCTGTAAACGATCTGATGCGGCCAATAATAGTAGGTAGACTTTGGCCTTCTTCTTGATGTGCTCTCAATTTGGCCAAGAGTTCATAGCCTCTGCCAGATAAGTCCTATTCACCGCCTACACCTATGGTGCCAATGTCTGGCGCTTACGACCAGTCTGGTGGACATATATGTCTATCTGATTCCAAAACCCCTATGGTGTTCATGAGCTATAGCCTCCGAAAGGATCGAATGACCTATGAGCCTACTTTTATCAACTTCAACTATGGAGACTCAGCCCAACTGCCTTGTGGACCATACTTCAAGTCAAACGCTCGGGTTTTCTCCCGTTAAGACAACCACCTGCTTGACATCCGTCTATAAACCAAGGGACGTGTGTACTGCTCAGCAGTTTGCTCCGTCCTTCTCGATGGCTCTGAAACATGGCCAATACGAGTTGAAGACATGAAAAGGTTGACTGTTTTCGAACATAGATGTCTACGATGTCTTTCTCACGTTAGGTGGCATAATAAGGTAAGTAATGTTGACGTTAGGCGTAGAGCGTTGGGCAAAGAGGGAAAATCAATCGAAGAGGCTATGAAGTTACATAGATTGAGATGGCTAGGTCACGTGCTGCGCACGCCTAACCATCGTCTCCCCCACCCCGACGGGCATTACTAGCTGATATAGGTGCAGGCTGGAAAAGAGTAAGTGGTGGCCAAACAAAAACATGGCACCAATCCATGAAATCCTTAACAGTTAAACTGAGTCAGGTACGGAGATGTAGACTTCCAGGTTGGGGCTCTCGGGACTCTAAGAATCAATGACTGGAGACAATAGGTGTCAATGGTTGTCAATGGCTTACGCAGATGTATTCAGTCTCTGTAATCTTCAGTCTCATATTCCTTTCTACCATTACTGATTCTGTTTCACTCTTATACTTGTCAAAACTCTGTTGATTCTCTTCACTCATCTTCTTGTCTACCTTTGTGTGGTATTTGGAACGTGTCAACTCGAACTTCTGCACTTCGGTGCCAAGTTCTATGTTGAATCCAAACAGACAGAGGCAGTATCTCAGTCCTCGTGCAAACTATGCAATTTTTTTCTGGCTCATCTCTTAGTGTCTATAATGTTGGCAAGTTTGTTTTTCAATAATAAAATAATTAGGAAGTGCAACAATAGATGGTGGTAGTAAAACTATAAAACCATAACATGAATAAGAAAGGAATTTAAGGCATATACAATTTTACCATATATAGAAGGGATGTCTAAAAATGTAAATAGGATCATTTAATATAGCAAAGCAATTAGAATGGCATTTAAGTGTACAATCTCTGCAGGCTAGACAACCAACCGTTCTTATCAAATTAGACAAAATAGCCTACAAAATACATCGCAAAGACTGTAAAGTTAACTACATATAGGTCAGACCAGTAGATTGGCGGTAATCAAATTATTGAAACAGAAGAATTTAGCCAAGGGTAGAATGAACGACCCCATAAAAGATGTTTAGCAACTACAATGTATGCACTAACAGACAATCACACAACAGAGTAGGGGAGAACTGTGTTTCTAAAAAGTAAATGGAGTTAAATGGAGAGAGATATTGATCAAACATGTGCAATAGTGCAGCACCGAATACCAGAGAAATTCTTTTTCTTTTATTTTTTCACGTTCCCAGTGGAACAGAGGGCTTCAAGCTAGAGGCTTGAAGTTTATGTAGCAGTGTTTTTTTTACAGGATGGGGTTGCTAGCCTCATGCCCAACCTTTCCTCTTCACCAGCATTATTATTTCTGGCTTAGCGAGGTAAAGGAGTGCGTCGGCCGGGGATCGAACCCGGGACCATGTGCATTGTCGGGGACCGTCCTGACCGCTGTGCCACCGACGCACATACCAGAGAAATAGGAAATATTATTGTATGATGGAATTATACTGTACCATAGTCCACACACTGAATGACTGAATTTCAGCGCAGTACCTCGCGTAAATATGCAGCATTTGAGGTTGTCACAGTCTGCATGACATCCAAAGGTAGAGGAAAGAAGAAATGAAATTGAAAAGAACCGTTATGAGCAGAAATGTAGGGGCCGGGGCAAAAATAGTGACATGGAAAAACCTTGAAGGTTTAATAGGTGGGTGAGATCACAAAGAGTAAATGAATGTGCGCCAAAATGGGCGGGTGTACTGTTCAGCAGTTCGCTCCTCTGGGGGTCCTCGGGACGATAAAAACCAATGGAGGCTGGAGACAATCGGTGATATGGCTCAAAATCGTTGTCAATGTCTAGTGTAGATGCATCCACTCCTTGTGACTTATAATTTCAAATGAAACTATATTGTTCTTCGTTATTACTAGTCCTTTAGTTTCTTATCCCTGTCTACTGTCTCTATTTTGCATTTCTTCTGCTTTTTTCTCTTGTTTGTGTGCTGCAGCAAGGTGGGAGTGTGGTGACTTGAACTGCTGCACATCGGTCCAAAGTTCTATGTCGAAAACAGACAGACAGACAGATGTGCTCCAATGAGAACGGTTTTGAGCCATATCACCAATAGTCTCAAACCATCGGTTCTTAGCATCCCGGGGTCCCTAACCTAGGCAGTTTGCATCTCCCTACGTGTCTCAAACCAACTGTCAACGCCTGTATACACTGATGACAAGTTTTGGTTTGACGAACTTTAACTGTTACAGGATTTCATAATGAGCTGACATTAGTTAGAGGACCATTGGAAAACCTGGGAGTACTGGACAACTATTTCGTCCTAGTTTGGGACTCTTCAGCAATACGCACCCACCGGGAGACATAGCCGAAGACTTTGGCTAGGGGTCGCGCTATGTCGTGAGTTGGCAGAAGTTAGAATTCACGGGCTGGCCATTGGATTGGGTTTCAGTGGCTTAATGGTCTACGAGCTCGCTAGCCTTGTAACCAGAAGGTCCAACACTTGAACAACTTTAACTTTTTCAACTTAATCCTATGTCAGTTTACACTGGTGAACGAAGAAAGCGGTGGATCAGCATTTGTAGACCATGTCCAAGACATCTCAATGAATGCAGCGTCACAACCTCATCAATCGACCTAACATCCTACATTTAACCTCACTGTTACTCACCATATTACGCCAATTAACACGAGAGATCGAAAGCAAACATATCTAGTCAAACACAGCTAGCCTTTTCATATCTTCCACTTTCAATAACCTTATGTCATCGCCATATAGAAGGATAGAATGAACTGTTGCAGAGTACAGACATTCTTAGATGAATAGCCGAATATTTCGTCTACTCCAGAGATGAAGTAAGTTGACAAGTGCCGCACGATCTGATTATATCCATGCTGAGATTTCTTCAGCAGTCAATCCATTAGGGTTGTCTATTTCCAGGTGCAGTTGATAATGAGCCACATCTATTATGTGGGATGGGTGCTAGTAAAAATACTACCTGGATGCCCTAAACCTCACTTGTGTTATGAAGCGGGATACGAGCTTGTGACCTCAGAGGCTGGAAGGAGGATGGCTACACCAGTAGCCCACACCTCCAAGGCTATACAGTAATCCCAATCATTTTACATTATCTTCAAACCATCTCCTGAAAACTGCTTTAAACCAATGAAAAATGCAGTTATAATTTTACGCTTTTAAGCACACTATCTACTCAAACTATATAACTAGGCCTAGTTGAATAAATACATAAATAAATAAAAAAAGGAATTATCATCAAGCCTTCGTTAAGTTGATATTCTCATCGAAAATTTGTGTTTTCCAGTGGTTTCTATCAAGGGAAAGTAAATATAAATCGTTAATGGTCAGGGAAATTGTATTTGTTAAGCTTTAATTTCACTGTATTTCCATTTCGCGTCGCCTTAGACACAACTGTTTGAACAGGTGTGTATGCACAAAAAGAGATAAAGAATTAAACGTTTATTATATCATTTATATTATTACCCTTAGAAACAGATCAATACATTGATATAAAAAAAAATAATTTTTTTATTAGCAGTTATAAAAAGAAGACAGTAAATATGTGTGTGTTTTTTTATCCTGCTATAGTTGTTTAAATCATTTTCACCATTGATTTTACTTATTTGAGGAAGTGGGGAGAGGGGCAGTTGGCAGAAAAGAACATTCAAGGTTTTCTTTGTGCGTCTTTGGAAATGACTACTGTATTCCTTTCTTTGTATCTTTTGAGGTGGAATCTTATGAAATACCGTTTATTGAAAATAAACCATGATATTTGTGTGTGTGTGTGTGTATGTTTGATACGTACGCATTGGCACCAATTACACGCACACTGTGTTATTTATGCTCTTAATAAATCGAAATTCACTTATTCCGTTATGTTTTGTCGTTATCAGGAACGTGATGCGATAGTGGAAACACAAGGTCCAGCTGTTACTGGTGGAGCTTTTGATACATCTGGTACACCGTTTAGTTTTCATGCTGGTGAAGGATTTGAAGAGGGTCGTTTTGAAAATGATTGGATTGTGAATCGTTTCCGACAACCGTGGGATGAAGTGAGTTGATATTCTTTTTTTTCTATTTATTTACTGTCCTGTTAGAATTCACTTATCCTGAATAGGTCTTTTTCATGAAGAGTATATGGAACCTCAGTTAATTTGTCATAGGTTTGATGATGATATCCTGTAACACACTCATTAGTCTTACTTTTATTATTATTATTATTATTATTATTATTATTATTATTATTATTATTATTATTGTACCCTGGGGTTCCTAGTGGAACATAAGGCTTCAACTGCACATCTCCACTTGCTTCTGTCTTCTGCTGTACTTTTCACCTGCATCCATGTTAGTCCATACTGTTTCAGCTCCTCTTCACACGATCTCCTCAATGTCACACTTTCACTGACTTCCCACTCGCCGCTTCCGTTTCGGGTTCCACTCGAGCGTTGGCCTGACACGCGATGTCACCCAGTGGCCTCCTCAGCGAGTGAGTGTCCAATCCATCTTCACTTTCTCCTGCATATTTGTTGGGTGATTGGTTCTTGTTTTGTTTGTTCCCATAGTTTCTTGTTGGTGATTCTTTCCGGCCATCTGATCTTCAGTATAGAGCCAGCGAAGACAGTTAGTTGTTGATAAAGGTCTGCAACAGGCTGTTGGAAATATTCTTTGTGACCCACCAAGTTTCTGATCCATCCGTATAGAAGAACTGACTGACTTGACGTTTGTATTGAAAATCCGAATTTTGTTGTTGATGCTGAGGAGTGACAGCGGAAGATTTCCAGATTGGTTTCAGGTTGATGAATGTGTTTCTCGCCTTCCCGATTCTCGATTTGACATCCTCGTCCGTTCCACCTGCCTGTATTTGAGACAATGCTCCCTAGATAAGTGAGTGAATGAAGTAACCTCTTTCAAATCCCTCCCGTTGATGGTGATTGGCGGTGGATGTTGCTGCTGTTGTTGTTGTTGGTTGGTTATTTTCATAACCTCTGTCTTGTCTATGTTCACCTGGAGTCCTGTCTCCTCTGGCTGCTTCTTCAACCAGTTTGTCGGTTTTCGCTTGTAAGTCTTCGATTTTGTGTGATATCAAACATAAATCATCCACGCGCGAAATCCAGGTCTTCTAGATTCTTTTGAACTCCCTCATTTAAATATCCAGTGGAGAATTTTGTATGTAAATTTTTTAGCTTTGACATTCAGTTGATTCAGACTCAAGTTTCAAATGACATAAAAGGAAAGCCGCGTGTGTGTGTTTATGGAAGTATGTAGGCGGTTTCTTTTACTTTCCAGCTGCCCACACCGTAGAAGTTCATTGCTTCTGGTGGAATACCTTAAATAGAAAGAGACCACAAAAAAAACTGCTTGAGGCAGGTGATAAACACTACCCTTTTGAGTTAGTTTTCGTAGTTGTATCATATATGAAAATCTTACCACTGACTACGGAATGATGAAAGGTAAATTGGGGAGTACACTTTTCGGGATCGACTTTTTCTAACCTCCCTTGTGAATCGCCAGAACGAAGAGGCAGCATAGTTAGTTTACTGGTCGTCCGAGTTGAAAATCTTATTGCTATTGTAACGACAGAAGATAAGAGCCAGGCAACAGATTGTTTATTGAGAAAATCAAGAGATATTTATAGATTTTCATGTACATTATTGTCAGTGGAGAAGTAACGTCTTCTCATTGATCGTTTTCCCACTGAAGGTTATCTTGTACTGCTTGTGACCGTTTCTTAGAAAGTTAAGCCATATATCTGCGAATCGTATTTGCACACTTTAAGTCCGCTGTGATTGGTTGATGAGTTCCTCAAGGTTGAGCTTTGTTATCGTTTTCCTCATGACCCTGATTCCGGACGTAACACTGACGTAAATTGTTGTTCACAATGTTGGCTTGTTCTCAGCCAGGTTTCACCACACTATTATATCCCTATCCCCTAGAAATACGACTTCGCCCTTACACCTCCAGTATAGCGTGAGTGACCCACTGTGTAACTGCTATCCAAATGACCTGCCTATCATAATGGTAGAACCTGCAGAAATATTAGTTCCAACCAGTGTAATCTGTTGGTTCCTTGCGATACGCAAGCCTGACCATCATGTTATGGTAACACTTATCGATCAGAAAGCTTTATCCACTAAGCCAGTTTGCCACAAGAAACGGCAAATAATTACAGGATTTCATCATGAGCTGACATTGGTTAGAGAACCATTGGATCATGATGAAATCCTGTAACCAATCAACCAAATCCCTACAAACCAATACTTAAATGGCAAATGAGTTACAATAAACACACACACTACCAGCTCCTAATGTATCTAACCTAACACTATGAAATAGTTGTAACTGCTGTAATCCAAGTATGACAACTTACTGTGTGAGATTGAAAGATGTCTTTCTTTGACACTTGTTCAAAGTATATTTTGATAAAATATTTCTGTATAATCAATCTTATTTAAAGTAAAATTATAAAATTCAATATAAATCATTTAATTTTATTTAAATAAATTTGTGGTCAATCACCACTAACATAAACATGTTTATGTTTTCATGTCATCTCATGAATAACTGAGTGATTGATTGATTGGTTACCTTTCATGATTGTGACCTCAGTGAGAGTTTTTAAGAAAAAACTACAAGCACCTTGTAGCTTACTTCACTCACTCTTCATACTTATTGTAATCACTTAATCTATTTCTTCTTCTCTTTCTTCTTCTTTCTACTCTTCTTGTCTACCTTCTTCTCACTCTTTCGAGTAAATCACGTCATTATTATTTTTTTTAATCCATCGTGTCATTGACAAGAGCTTACTACTACTACTGTGCACATGTCACTGTGTCAAATATACGTTAAAGTAAATTCTTGAAAAAAAAACAGAATTCAAAGTAAACCTCTAAAGACAAATTTTAGAGAAAAAAAGAAATTAGAACTTATTCTCTTTTTTACATTTGACAAATTGGTAAGGAATTTAATTCAGTGCGTTGTTGTGCGTGTTTGTGTGTAGACACCCGATGTGTCCGATAATTCAAGTGAAATTGTAAGCACATCTTATACATAGTATAAAACATGTTTTGTTTTAAAAAATCTGTTTTATGTAACATTGAAGTTGGATTAGAGAAAATAAAAGATTGATTACATGATAGGTAGATAGATAGTCACTGATAGAGGCGCAAGATAGACGTTCATCACTGTGAAGTCAATTTGGAAAGTCCTCAACACTCAGCACATTAGAACAAATTTCGGATTTTCATCACTAGTGTTAAGTCAGTTCTTCTATGTGGGTCAGAAACTTAGCGTGAGTATCATGAGAAGCGTTACCAACTGGCTACTGCTGACGATGACTTTTATCAACAGTTGCCTTCTCTGGCTCCATACTGAAGATCAGATGGTCAGCGAGAAGGGATTAGCAACAAGGAACTCTGGGAAAGAAGCTATGGAAGAATCCATTCTCAAGTATTGGTTTGTAGGGATTTGACTGATTGGTTACAGGATTTCATCATGAACTGACATCAGTTAGAGAACCATTGGAAAACCTACCTGGGAGTACTGGACAACTATTTCACCCTAGTTTGGGACTCTTCAGCAGTACACAGCCACCACAGGGGTTCGAACCCAGGACCTTCTGGTTGGAAATATTCTGAAGAAAATGGAAATGGATCGGGGGGGACACTGAGTAGACCGTGTTGAGTGACATCAAGTGGAACCTGAATGTGAAACGACGAGTTGGGCATTGATCCGAAGGTGGCATGGAGCCAGTCGTGTTAGGAAGAAGTGAAAGTTTATAGCCAGAGAATAGGGTAAAGTGGGGAGATGTTCTGTTGAAACTCTATGCTCCTCTGGAAACCCAAGGGAATAATAATAGTAATAACAACAGTCACTGATGATAACGTTTATTGACAGAAGTTTGAATTCCCCAGTCACTCGATTGTAACCCAATAGCTGAACAACAGCGTAACTTAAAGGTTCTTGGTTAGATGCTTGGTGGTGTCATGGATGCGCACTGTTGAAGAGTTTCTGGTTTGCTTCTGTCTTTTAATTGATATCTATTCCTTATGAAATCTACCTTGAAATTGTTCGAATCCCAGTAAATCACATAATACAGTGTACAGTTTTTACTGGTACGATATGTTCTATGGAACTGCTTCATAAATTTAAATTTTTCACGAGTAAAAACCAACAGTTAGACTGAAGGTTCAACTAAGACTGGACTTCGAGTGAGCATAGAGAAGACAAAGGGGATCAAGATACCCAGTCAGTAACAACAAGCACCAACCACCATCAATAGAAGAAATCTAGAGAGATTGGTCTCTTTCACTTACTTCAACTGGATAGCATCGTTCCAACTACAGGCGTCGTAGATAAAGATTTCAGATCCAACCAGGATCGAAAAAAAACTAATGTATATTACTCTGAATTTATTGTGTAAATCTACAGCACTCAGCAAAGGAAACGAGAACCGGATTCTCAACACTCTAATATCAAGTCAGTACTTCAATATGGTCATGAGACTTGGAGTTCGCGTCATCAGAACTATTTCGAACAGACTGAGGAGTTTCATCAACACCTGTGATGCCCTATGCTTGACACTGAAGATCAGATAGCCGGCCAGAAAAAAGACGCAATAAGGAACTGTGGAAGTGAGTCAGTTAAGAACCTATTTCCTGACAAAATATGCAGAAGGAAATGAAGATGGATAGAAGACACGCTGTGAATAGACGATTCATTTACGTCGCATGCCAGGCTGTAGAGTGGAGCGTGATTGAGTAACGACGACTTGGGCGTCCGAAGATGACACTACGGAGATCGTGTGAAGAGGAAATAAGAGCTTATGAAGCACTTTAGAGGACTGCATAGAACGGGGCGAAATAGAGATATGCCGTTGAGGTCCCCATGTTCCACTCAGAATCCAAGAGACGGATGATAAATAGAATAATAAGTGATGTGAACAGTAGCTATTCACCAATAAAATTGTTGGCTTTTATTTCCAAATAATGTTTTTGATGTGGTTGTGTTCTCTGAGCTGGATGGTTAATTCGCGAAGATTTCATCCCACAAA